TAAGAAGATTTATAATTGAGGGGGATGGTAGTAATTACCCAAACAGGAGGGGGGTTTCGTAATTTGACCATACCTCAGGGAGTGGTTGTAATTTACCCTAAATAAAATAATTTAAAAAAAAAAAGATTGCCATCTAAACATATTTAGAGTTACCTTCATCTGGTCTTCCTTGTATGGTTCATCAGGTGCAGTTATTCGTACGATCTCAGAGATACATGAGGCCACTGAAATTCTTACATCCCTTTCAGTATGTCTTATAAGCTCATTGGCAATTAGCGCTTCTTTTGATGATTGAAGTGCCAATTGTACCCGGTCCTTGTGATCATGAAGTGTGTGTATTAAAACACAATGTAAATTCTGAGAGCCAAAAAAAAAATCAAAGATCAAAAACATCGTAGTCCTATAAATGAAAAATGATTTTAAGTTACGACAACACAAATCAACAGCCAGATTTACAGGCAGAATCAAGCATGCAGAGAAAATTACTCTGCGTCAACATAAAAGCATGTGTAAGGAAAAATTACTTGTTAATTTGTAAAATCGAGGGTGAAGCTTACATGAAGTAATTCCAGAAGCTCTTCTGTAGAATCACACGGTTTAAGAAGCTGAGTTCCATACCTAACAAGTAATTGTTTCAACGTCTCCACCATATTTGAACCTGGCGAATCAGCATTGCTCGTGTTTCTCTCTTGTGAGTTTGCGGCAGCCATTCTCTTCTAGAAGCCTAAAATTCAAGAAAACGGATCTTTGCAAAATGAAAATGAAGGAAAGGTAAAGCGCCCTTGCTTTATGCGGGACACACAAATCAAGAATTGTATTTTTGTGCAAGATGGGAAGCATGCAGCAGGCCCTAAAAACCGAGACTTTGTGCAATGCTTGCAAATTTTAAAAACAATGTTTATCCGGTGAGTAGGATGTTTGGTGAAACGCCTATCTGTCAAACAAAAGTTGTTGCAATATTTGGAAGAATGCTATTTAATGAGAGAGAGAAAGTCATATACCATTAGTGAAAATTCAAACCTGTCACTATGGTAAGTGAAATCCAGGGGTGCAATTTTGCCATCGGGGATCATACATATATATAATTAATGTGAAGGTATTACACAGTGCATAATCGACTGTTGGACTGTACATTAAAATTATTTTAATTATTTTGCCATTGTTGTAATCAGGTATAGGATGTATAAGCAATTCCTGTAATTCACATTTGTTGCAAATTGCAATAATCAAGTATTTGGAAAAAAAATATATTTTTGTCCAAAAGAACTTTATTGCATTAACTGAGAATTCACAAAAATATATAATTTGTGGCTGCTGGGATTCGAGCCCAGGTCTCCACGGCCACAACGTGGAATTCTTACCACTAAACTACAGCCACTTTGTTGACAATTTGTCAATATTTAATGCTTTTAATTGCTCCCATTTATTTTTGTCCTTCTTCATAAGAATGACACTCTTATGTCATAATGGCCTTCGGATTTCTTTCCAAACTAGTCCATATGGTTAAACTGTTATAACTTATTACCTATAAATTAATTTCAAATATAGGGCACTGCTACCAACAAGTGTGAACATATTCAAATCTTACAACCACAACGAAAAAATTTATGTTTTGTACCCCTTCGATTATAACATCCTTCATGTCAAGTAAAGGTTCTAAATATGCTGTGCTTCTCATCGATATTCTTAGCCTAGAAATTACGTTCTATGTAACACATAACATTAGGTCTTTCGATCCTCTTTAGCAATCTATCTTTGTACTATTTTTCTAATTCCCCCCTCCAAATTCGAACTCCTAATTTGAAGTCGTCATATCGCAATTAAACTTATCCAACTGGCATCTTCCCTAACAGCATTTGATATAAGTGAAAAACGACACGACAAGGGGAAGGAATATCGTCTAGTCCGAAGTATCTGTTAATTTCTCCTCTCTTTAAGGTAAATCTTCAGAAACTGATTGTACTTAGAACTTACCACGGTCAAACAAATCAAAGATTCCACATCCTCCTTTAAGAAGAAATTCGAGCAAAAAAATAAAAATAAAAAAAGATCAAGAAGAAAATCGAGAAGGTAAAAAAATGGAAAATGCAATCCGCCACGTGTACTTTTACTAATGAATTCTATGACGCTTGGTGAAGATTCTCGTGGAAGCCGACAATACTGCAAACTACAAAAATTCGTATAGGAGTACTGAAGAAACTCCTGATAAACTTTACGCAAAAGCCAATATCCGGGGAATCATGAACATTTCAATATGTCGAGGAGAAAAGTTCTTCCGTACCAGTTAGAAAATTATATATCCAGTTTTCCATATAATTATTAAGACGCTATCATTGAATAATAAAATTTAATTTAGATTAAATCAAATGATCGGACAAATTTTACATTATTTACAAGTATTACCATTGTAGCTGCAAGAGGATCCCGCGTTGATCGAAAAGTATCTCCCAAGTGAATGACATGAGTTCCTGGCGATTGATTTGTCAATTTATCTATGGGAAAGAAAAATAAGGAAAAACTCAAAACAAGCCAAGTTCGAACAGTATATAAAGGGCTTCATATCCAACAAATTGATAAGTAAAAAATTACATGAAGTGCAACGCGGAGCTACATTACTCGAAGCAATCTGCAAATACGAAATTAAAGCCGTCAAATATAAAGCCAAAAAAACCATCTTTTTGTACACATGAAGAGAGAGTGTGTCACGTTGATTATTGACCGGCCGGCGACGCCATTTATTCGACCAAGGAGAACGCAATAATCTCACCGAAAAATAGGGCACCATTCCCAGTTCTGATCGGCAAAATAGGCGGCGGGTACAAGGCGGTGGAAGCGGCGGCTACGGAGAGATAGAGAGGATGGGCTATTTTGGATCGCCATCGGCGGGAATTGGGAGAAGAGGGTGGTTGTGGCGATGGCGGTGGTGGTGGTGGTGATAGTGGATTAGCGACGGTGTATGTTGCCACTTAGTAATATAATTTTTACAGTTAATATGCTGCAAGTCCCTTAAACAAAACTTAATTAAATGTGGAATACGAGTCCAATATTTTTTTCTAACTAAATCCCCTCGTTTGGTAGAATATATGAAATAAGGGATTTTTTTTTTAAATAATCCCATATTACCCTTATTATTAACCGAACGTTTGTGACGTTTTGTGGGGTTACATATTTTAATTAATATCACGTCCCTTTAAATTAGAGATCATGTATCAATCACGTTCCAAGATTGAGAGGGATCACCTATCAATCACGTTCCAAGATTGAGATTAACCGTATTATAATCTCATCACGTTAATATATACAACACGCCAGTGAAGAAAATATCACAGATATCAATCTGCTAAAAATTGAGTGTGTTTTTTTAAGATTCAGCAGCAAGAAGGTATGGATTTTCATCGTCACGTAGTAGTGGGTTTGTGTTTTGTGTTGGTTCGATTGGGTACATGATCTTTACCGCATGTTTGCAAATTCAAGTTTTGAAATATAAGGGTAATTTATGGCGCCAGATGCATATTGTACGATGTCTGTATTTTTCCGTTTCTCATGGTGATGGTTTATTTAATTTAATTGTGTATAATCGTTATGTGTTCACGTTAGGTGTTTTGTTAAAAATATTTCGTGTTTCGTTGCATATTTCGTATTTCGTTGCATATATGACTCGGTATATGAGGTGTTGAGTGAATCTGTTGTTGTAGTTGATATATGGAATAAATCATGTTCATGCCGAATGAAGCAAATTTCGGGATTCCCATGTGCTCATGTTGCTTGTGTGCTCTACAAAGTGAAGATGGAAGGATACAATTATGTGGAAGATTACTTTCATGTTTCGTCGTACAGACATAGTTATGCTAAAGCAATTTTCCCATTTGCTAGACCTATTGCTGACCCTCCGTTGGATGTCGTTGGTTAGCCTAAGTTTCAGCCAAACCGTGGTAGAAAAAGATGAAGATAATTGCTTTTAGGGGCGAGAGTGTAGCTATCGAGGAGGATGAAGTATAGTAGTTGCAACCAGGTTGGAACGCAAATCAAGAAAACATGCATAAGGCGTATTGAGTAGGTTCATTTGGTTTGCTTTTGAGCTGTTTTAATTTGCGTTTAAAGTTGAACATTAGTTTTTTTTTTTTTTCCTTCCATGGATTTATGTTGGAGAAGTACTTTTCTTATTTCAGCATTGTCATATTTTTGCGATTGGTGTTTTCTTTTACTTTCATGGATTTTCTTGTTGATTGAGTACTTGAATATTTATTGCAGTTACAAAATTTAAATTTGTATAATCTTGTGAGTTATTTTCTTTTTACATGTGTTTGGTTTGTATTTAGTTCATATCTATTCCCACTAAATCCAACCATCTATAAACAAGTGTGCATAAACATTTGATAGAAACTTATTGTATTGTTTTTTTGTGTTTTCAATTCATACCAAAGACTATCTTGGAACAATGGTCATATTCCGAGATAATGCAATTTATTCGGGGATGGTGCACAATAAACACCCATTGCGCAAATACCAAGTTCATGTAGCTAAACATATCATACCAAAGACGCATACAGTATACCATAGGATTATATAGTTGATAATCGTTGCAGAGTACTACCAGGCTGTGTAACAGTGGGCATTTGGTTAATTAATTTACGTAAAGCAGGCCATACACCAAACGTACAAAAATATGCAACAGTATATGTCACATTATATCTATGACTTCAATATATTAATTTGAAAAGGTACAATAATATATAGATACGAAATAGTGCTAACAATGACCAGCCAGTCTCTAATATTTTTACCCAAAAACTAAAGGTTTAAAACCATAATTATGTTTAACTAGGCAACACTGTTAATATTATTTACAAAATGGTTTGAATTTGCATACAAGAAACAAAACAAAATGAGAGAAATTAATCGTTCATTCCATCTTGTAATTTAAAAGATATTCTACAATGCTCCTTCTCATGTTTGTGGCCCCTATTCTGCTTCTTTTAGTTCCAAGGGCGACTGAAGAAAATATTGTCTCGCCTGCAAATTTGACAAATCATATTTGTTACCAGGAAAGCTAAATGTATGGTAGAAGATCAAAAAATGCATAGACTATATAGTTTCAAAAGCAGTAAATGTTTTAATGAATTTCACCTTTTTAATATGTAGACAACTACAGAATATCATAGTATCCATAGAGTACCACAATATTACATATGTGTATAATTAGTTACCATGTCCAAAAAAAGTGGATTAAGGAATCAGAATTCAAGACCTCAACATTGGTATGATTGTGTTTATTCAATAATAAAATTTTGAGTGTCTTATAGGACTTGCACAAACTGGATGTACTCAGACCATGAATTGTCCTAATACATTCAAGGAGATTACATAGACTATAATCATTAAAGCAATAATCAGCCTATCATCGATACCCATAGAGTACTACAGTACCCATAGATTATCACAGTAGTTCATAGAACACATAGATATTACAGATACATATAGAACAATAATCTTCACGAATCACCCAACCCAATAATGTTTACATAATATACAGTACAATACCACTCATATGTGATAAAAAATCTAGAATATATACTACAATCTTCAGATAATCAACTACAAAACAAACCAACCAAACTATTTTTGTATAGATTTGTGTCATAGACACCAGAAGACTTTAATATAATTAAACAACAAAACATATGTATGTTCAATCGTACCTGGATCCAGTGCATTTATGTCTTGCGTGCCTTTCATTCTCATCTCCCCTGCGAAATCGATTTTATAAAAGCCCTAGTTTTTTATTTTGTAAAACGAAAACTGTAAATTACAAAATCAAAATCTTACTTGATATATGAGTAAGCGTAGACATTGGAATGAATAGATGGCGACGAAAGTTGGCTTCTGCTGTTGTATACTACATCGATGTTCCCGTCTGATTTGCAGAATAAACACCGTCCGATTTGCAGAATAGAAAGAAAGGAAAGAGAATAAAATTGGGTGTGATATGATGCGGTTAATAAGGGATTTGGGAAACTAGAATCACCTATATTAGTAATGGCGAGATTAGTGGGATTTTATTTTATCTTGCCAAATCATAAAACACGGCGTTAAAAATCACCGTAAGGGTAGTATAGGCACTATTTTACAGAAGGATGTGGGGCTAATGTTTTTTTGGGCTTGAGAGTAGCTTCTAATATATTTCTCCACTAGGGATGTATATCTTAAAACCCCTTTTAACATTATTTTAATAAGAATGGTCCAGCTCCTTTTTCTTTATCACTGATAAACCCTTTTTTTTTTATTCTCAAATTTATCCTCTCACTATTCATTACCCATTATCACTAGTTTGATTTTTTATTTATTTATTTCAATTTTGTTTATTTATTTATTTCTTCTTTAAAAAATAATATTTTTTTTTAAAAAATATTTTTTTTTTATTTTTTTAATATTTTTCTTTAAATATTCCTTTTCTATATTATTTTAGTTTTCAGTTAAGACAACTATACGCCAATGAAACGACTATTATTAAAACAATTGGTATTAAAACAATGATACATCAGTTTCACAATTTATTAAATTAATTATATATTATATTATTTCCATTGTAAGATTAACTAATTATTTAATCAAAACATCTCCAAAACAACTATTCGTTAAATCAACTATTTATTCAAACCAACTATAAAGTAATGAAAACAATAATATTGTTGTGCAAAAACAACTATATTGCTATACGAAAACAACTATATTGAATCAACTACAAATTATTGAAATCCACAAAAGCAAAAGCAAAAACACACACCAAAATTTCAACAAAAACGACTATTATTGAAACCAACTACAACCGTAACGAAAACAACTATAACTTTTTGAGTAACGCGAACACAATTTCAACAAACGAGCCTCCCAAACAATACCTCCTCCTCGAGGTCAATCTATTCCATCACAGCGATAGTGGAGGCGGTCTTCCGACGAGGATTATAGGAATGCTTCCAAAATCGAAAGAACAAAAAATAAAATAAAATAAAAATACCAGCAGATCTGCTCATCCCTCATAAAGGAAGAGGGGAGACCGGAAGGCCGCCGTCCTTCCTAGATTCGGCGGCGTCGCCTTGTCGTTGTCGAGATCTAGAGCCGGCTTCGTCCTCTCCTTGCCCCACATCTGTCGGATTCCCAATTTGAGAAAGAAGAGAAAGGGGTCTTCCTCGTCATTGTTGAGATGTAGCACCGCCTTCGTCACCTTCACCGCCGCCACCATCGCAGCCGATACTACTGAGTTTCGGTTCCAGAAAAGAAGAGAAGAGGTGATGGAGATTTGAGAACGACGGTTTGTTGCAGACAATATGGCTAGGGTTTGTAAATATAAGATTTGGAAAATTAAGGATAATATAGGTATAACACTTAATAATTGTATTAATATTAATTTAATTAAATAATTAAGGGGGTTCTCACTAATAATGAAAAGGAGATTATATTCACCTTGATATAAGTAAATGAATTGGAGAGTTTTTACTAATTATCCCTAATTTTAAAGGGTGGTTATATACGTAGGCGCTATTTTGGAGGCACTTTTTTACCATAAGTTTTTATATTTTTACTTTAATTTTTTTACTTTTTTACATTTTTTTTTCCAAATCATATAATCCTTTAAAAACCGAATTTCAACATTCATTGCAAAAAAATTAGATATTCATCAATTTCTGAAATGGATCCAACAAATATAGACCGGAAGGTAATATTTTTGTTTTTTCACGAATCTTCAAGTACTTGTGTGATATTACGCGAACACATGCCATGTGCTCGCTTAATATCACACGAGTACTTGATGTTTTTTTTTTCTTGTGTTCGTGTGATTTTGCACGAGCACATGCCATGTGCTCGTGCAAAATCACACGAGAAGATGAATATATGAATATATTTTTATTTTTTTTGTTCGTGTTAGTTTACGCGAGAACCTTGTTAGTAGTCGTGTAAAATCACGCGAAACCTAAGTCGGTGCTCGTGTAAAATC